GTGGTGCTTAGTTGCTGGCTGGAGCTAAACCACGACACTTCCTTATCTGGGAAGCTGTGGGGTCTTCTTCACCTGCTGTCTCATGGAGACAACTGAGCAGTCCATGTCTTGATGCAGGTGGTGAAGCAGCTGATGAGAGGAGAGATATAGCTCCTCCAGCCTCTCAACTGCAGGCAGGCTGAACTGATTTGAGCATCTGTTTTGAGGTGAAATCCAAGCCAGTGGGTGACCCCATAGCTGGGACTTACAATGACAGTCAGGCTGCACAATGCAAAATCAGGTAACAGTGTGGGACTGGGTCAAAGGGGAAGCTTGACGCTTGTACAGAGAGAAGTAGGGAAGAATTAGTTCCAGGTGATACTCACAGGGGTGACAGAAGTACCAACAAGTTTGATATCTTTGACCTTTTTGATATAAAAACTCTTAGAAGAAAGATCTTTAGCACAGGGGTGGTATTTTCCCACTGAATAGTCCAGAAATATGGCAAGAGAGAGAGACAGACAGACAGTACAGATGTGGAATGCAGGGATGGATATAACCAGAACAGCTTGTCTTCCTTTGCCTTGCCACTTCTCTTCTGTGGTGTGCTGCTTTTTCTCAACCCAGATCAGCAAATGCAGAGGAAAAAGAAAAAGAAAAAAATTAATCTCTGCTATCCCCATCCTTTGTGAGTGGATTGAGGTTTTCTTTTCAGCAAAGGTGCTGATTCGTGGGTTAGTTTTCTGGGCTCATTCACCACATCTTTGCTGTTAATTAGGCAATGGTTTCCCTTGAGCAATGGAAGGAATGGGCAGCATCGTTGCGATGTTTTCCACTAATACAGGATGTGGGATGAACTATTCTGCAATCAGCTTATCGTAGTCAAATAACTGTATTTTGCCAGCAGGGCAGAGAGGCTTTCGATTTCATGAAAAATATTGCAGCAAGAATGGGAAACTGTGTGTTCTTTTTACTGCCATCATCAGACCTGGGGGAAAGAAGGGGAGGGAGGGGATTTCCCCAGTATTTTTAACTCAATAATGGGGTTTTCTTTTACACTGCACTGCTTAGACAGCTGACACAGTTGTGGCTCTGAGCTGACTTAGGAGACTTGAGTCTCTTCAGCTGGACTGAATGGCTACCCACAGCCATTCATGAATTTAAACCTTGTCCATCCTGTCCCTTTTCTGGTTTTGCAGCCCTCTAGAGTAACTGTGTTCTCCAGCCTCATTAAAGAACTGTCCCAATGGGTTTGATGCTGAAGTCACGTTCATGTCCTGAACAGAAAAACTGTCCACCTAGTCTTCCCTGCAGAGAAGGCCTTTCCCACCTGTGGGTTTCCTCCAGGCAGATCCTAGAAAGAGCAATGGCTGTACTGGCTTTGGAGGTCCCTCAGGGAAAGGTAGGCACCAGTGTTTGGGACCTGGCTAGAGAAAGCTGTTCTGCATGGATCCTCATCCTGGGTTTGCCTTAGAGCTGGAGGCAGAGAGAAAGAAGAGGCAGCATGTGCTGCTGGTGTACAGGGGTCAGTTGGAGGGCCTGCCTTCCCACTTCCCTCTGTTACATTGATAGTATCTCTGTCATGCAGATCCGGTGGGTCAGGAATGTCAGTGTCTAGCTGGCACAGGGCCTCAGCAGGTTGTAAAGCTGCTTTGTCCATCACCTTCTCATCCTGTTTCAGAACTGGTGTTGGTGAGATGCCTTCACTTGACTGGAGAGCCCCAGAAATAGCCATGGCCTGCTGGGCTTCACCTTCTGTCTCTTCCACAAAGGAGTTGTTTTGGAAGCCCCGGGTCACCTTGATACAGTGAAGGAAGTTGTGGGACAACACGGGCATGTCCTCTGCCAGCGTGCAGAGGTCTGGACATGGGAGAGCATGGCAAGACTCGCCATCCTTGCTGCCACTGTCCTCCTGGGTGAAAGGCTCATAGGTGAAGTAGATCTGACAGGGCTCGATCTCGAAGGAGCTGGGAAGGTGGAAGAAGAAGTAGCCTTGGTTGGTGAAGCAGCTGGATAAGGAGTGCCCACTGGTTTCTAAGGGAGGATCAGGAGTCAGGGTTCCCTTGGAAAGTAGAAACTGGGATTCCTGGTCATTCTTCTGCATCACCTCAAGCATGGAGATCTCTGGGGTTGTGCTGTTCACACAGTAGGAAGATGTGGAGAATGGGGAGGAGAGCCATTTCTGATGGGGAAGAAACACAGGAGACAGACTGTTACACCCAAAGTATAACACTCAGTGAGGAACCAAAGGTTTCTTTTCCTGAGTGCCCACAAGCAATCGAGTGACCTTTTCTCTGTCCAAGCAAGAGTTGCTGGAGGTGGTGGGGAGGGAAATTCACATTCATGATGTCTCATCTGCAGGATTTTTGGAGAGAGTATATCTTTCTGTCACTTCGAAATCAAGAGCAGATCTTGCAAGCCTACGTTTTGAGATTTCTGGAGGGGGGGAATGGAGGATGGAGGATTAAAGTGAAAGGAATGAAAAAAATTACAAGACTATAAGATGAAGTGAAGGTGGAAACATGAAAAGCAGTACTGAGATGCATCTCATGCAATCTATTCCTAGGTGCTGAACCAGTTTCTGATACATCTACATGGCCCTATGCGGATTTCTTGTCTAAAGTGCTCTTCCAGGCCCCTGTGCCTAGATTTCCACACTCACCATGAGTGACATCCTGCAGTGCAACATTATACTTAAAAATATACTGGTTTTGATAACATCCAACTTCATTGCCTTTATGGCCAGTAAAGCAATTTTTTCTAGTTCTTTCTGCACTGAGAAAGAGTCTTCAGTGCCTGCTGCGCACCCCCACCCCCTACTCTGCACTCTTCCTCTGTAGTTTAAGCTTTCTAAGGCTTTTTGCACTTAGGCTTTCCAAAGCTTTGCTGTCCTCTGGACCCTCTGCAGTTTGTTTCCACTCTTCTTAAAGCAAGATGCCCCTTGGGATCACCTCCCACATCTTACATCTGACATTCCCTTTAATACTGCACAGAATGGTAACAGTCTCCTTGCAGCTGCCCATACTCAGAAAGAGGTTAGGGGAAGGAAGAAAGTGGGTGTGGAGAAAGAAGAGAAAGAGACAAGAAGAATGCAGAAATCAGCTAAGTGCCATCCAGGGTGATGGCAATTCACATTAGGAGCCGAGGAAAGGCTCACAGCCAGGAGGAGGGGATCACAGCAGGAAATCTGGGCAACAGTGGGGCAGCCTAGGGCAGGCAGGGAGGGACCAAAGCGGGATGCAAGGGGATCTGAGAGGCCAATCTCCCTCCTGCATGTCCCATGTTTTCTCTCAGGCTCCCCGTTAGGGCAGCAGTGTGCTGAGGTTTGCGTGGTTTGCCGTTTCTCGGTTCTGTAATTAGAGATGCCTTAGCTGAGTGTCGGGTTTTAGAAGGTCAGAAAATAAAACTCAAGGGGAGAACCCAGCAGCTGGTGCTACAGGCACGTGTCATGTGCACACATGTAGATCTGACAACTGGGTGTCTGTCCCAGGCATGTGCAGCTGGACCCTCCTTTCCCTCATTTCTCCCTCATAACCACTTGGCTCCATCCCCAGTCCCATACCTGAATGTCCCCTCCGTGAACTGAAACAAGTGGGGGAAAGAACTTCTCAGGATCTGGGATGTGAATCTTCAGGATCTTCTTAAACCTTAAGAAAAGAAAATAAGGAGGAATGAGGAAGGGCCTAATCCTGACCAATCTGGCACTGTGGTGGGGGTAGGAGATAGCATTGCAGCTCATGGGTACCACCCTGCTGCGGGGGAGAGGTAAAGTAAGAACAAGCCTGAGGGCTCGCCTTGCTCTTGAGTGGCCTGAAACACAGTATCTGAGGGATGCGATATGGAGATGAGGCAGTCAAACCTGGCATTGAAAAATATACTCCCCTCAGTCTTTTCCCTGAGGAAGCACAACCAACAAACAGTTCACTGGTTTCTTTGGTTTCTTTCACTGGTGGCCTTGGCTGGTCCTCTCTGCCTGCCTCCCTCCCCTCCTGCCCTGATGACAAGCTAGGAAGGTCTCCCTTGTTTCCAAGGTCCAGCTGCTGTGAGTTGCCCCCTCTTTACTTTGCTGTCACCACAATGACTCAGAGGACCACATGGCCTGAACGGGACCGTTGCTGGAAAAGCTGTGCCACAGCTGTCCATCCTGTTAGCAGAACACTGCATGGTATAGCTAGGACACACTGGCTGTGCAAGCAATCTGAGCACACCTTGTGTCCACCCAGTGGCCTCTACTTTACTGGAACCGATGTGTTGTCATCCTGAGGCAGCATGAAGTGGTCTAATCTGCTCCTCAGTCCCTCAGAGATGTCAACTGATCCTGTCAGGTCTTTGCTGAAGCTTTGCTGTGGGATGCTCTGAGGAAAGACCTTCCCGACCTCTGGAGGCAATCAGTGTGCTCTCTGAAGCATCAGAATTTGCTAGTCCTTGCATATAAACTACCTTACAACACTGCAGATGCTATTTTTATTCATGCATGTCTAATCCTTCCTAGGATCTTACCTCAGCATTATGCTCTATCCAATTCCCCCAAACTAATTATACTCTGTGGAGAAAGGAGGCCTTTTTTTCTCTCTCTGTGCCATATAGCTAACATTTCCTCACTTTTGTGTTATGCCTCAAGGTAAAACACAGTGACCAGTGACTTTCTCAGTATCCATCTTCCTTCAATATTCTTCTTCTTCTTTCCTTACAGAGAAGACATCCCAGCCTCTGCTGCCTCATCTCTGAGAATATTTCTCCCTGCTCCCTGCCATGAGCATCAACACCCTGTTTCTCTGTCCCTGTCCTGAGATGAGAATATGCGAGGCCATTTCTAACCTCATCATGTTGACAGGTCACTCTCCATATTATTGCATGGGGTAACCTTGTGAGAAACTTTCAGTCCTGAATAAAAGCAGTGTCTGGGTAGAAATGCTGGCAAAGAGTTCTTTAAAGCACCATGTAGATGTTTACCAGCATGTGATGAAACACTTCAGGACTGCACAGACCAGGGAGAGGAAGAATTGTACTCCTTACTCAGGAGTTTTGCCTACAGGCCAAATGTCACTGCATCCTGTCTGAGCTGTTGCTGGAGTATTTAAATAAGTGACAAGGTAGTGGTACCTAGGCTTTCTTGGTCCTCTGTACTGAGGGAGCGCTCCACCCACTGACCTGCTTTTTAAGAGGCAATTTTGGTGCATCCCTGCCAGGGAACAGCACTCTAACCCACGGGCAACAGAAGTGCTGAGGCAGCTGTTTTTAATTCAGCCAGGGTACTGCACTAGGTCACAGGACTGGTGATATATCTCCCCAAACAAATGTCAGCCTCAAAAGGTCGGGCTATAAACTGTATTTTTAAGTCACTCTCTATCCTGAGCAATGTCAATTGAAAAATAACTGTGGTTTTGAGAAGACACACAAGACACAGGAGAGGAACAGACAGGAAAACTTGATTCCCATTTACCATTTCAGGGTCCATGTGTTAATAAGGAAGGCAGTCACAATGATCAGGAAGACACAAGTGCTCACTATAAGAGCTGGCAAGACTGGCCGGGATGTTTCTGCAAAATGAGAGAGAAGGAGGGAGTTGCTGTGAAAATTTAGCCAGGATTCTGGAGGTAGGAGCTGCATCCGTTCCATGGCTGTTCAAGCTGATCAAAGTGGGCCTTTATTATAATTTTATATAATATATAATA